TAAAAACAGTATTATAATTCGAGATTCGAACTTGAAGAAAACCTTATGAAATTTATTTTACAATCAAGGTAATCATTCTATCTCAAATTAATTCTACTAATTAACAGTAAAATAGGTAATATTTGGATCTTCACGTCAAAGATAGTTTAAAATCTTCTTAGGCTTCACGTGACTTCTCGTCAACATCTCGGTAACTTCATACTGCTTATGCGAGAGTTGTTTATAAAGACCATGCTTCAAAGTCGGAGGATGATTATGCTTCCCGTAAACTATAGAGAGTTCTCATTTATCCTCTGCTTGTAGAGCCCCCTTCAGCTGGAAATTACAATTACATTTTTTCGTGTCAGTACATTTTGTACTTTCTACACCTCTATTCTTCCGTTTCACATACTTTTTTCCATACCGATCACAGGTGACGTATACTCTATCACAAAAAGTATGACTTATACTTAGCTTAATGCCATGGCTTTCAGCTGTGTCTCTCGCCCACTGTATTAAATCGGCTCTAGAATTAAACAATTGTACTCCTAAAAAATATTCAGAATAATCAACTTCCCTATTATCCTGAAAAAAAAATATAACAAAAAAAAAAAAAAAAAAAAAACACAACATCAGATCGCATCTAAAGTAGAAGCGGACGCATCAAAGACGGCGCCCATCTTGGACGCGAATACAGTGAACTGCGCGCCCAACATGTGCGCGCTATCTGTTTCGTCTTCCAGGTTGTCTGCCCTCTGCCTTGGCAAAAAAAAAAAAAAAATCTTACATCAGGTTTAAGTGGATTGTCGTTAGTGTTGGGGATCGATGCATGTATACGCAGCGGAAAACAAAATTTAATCGAACTCAATGTTCGATCACATGCATAAATCAATTAATTGAACGTACCTTAACGCTTCCGCCATACACATGGTAATTTTTCATATTTTAATCGAAATTAAATAAAACGAAAAACAAAGACGAGCATGCTTGCATACGACATCATGAAATCGAAAACATACATTATTCATATAATTGTCATGCTCACAAATTAATTCACATAATCCAATTATGAATTAATTCGCAGGGGTTTTCGATTTTACCTCTTGAAGCGTGAGATTTTGACGAATCGAAATTTATAAACTAAGACACGTACAAGCTGCTATTAAACAACTCCAAGGCTGCGAAGAACCGACCGAACAGCAGCTGGTCCGATCTGATCTCGACGGCGGCACATGAGGTGCAGCGGCGGCGGCGCGTGGCAACGGCGACGGCGCGTGCGGGGCTGGCGGTGGTGGAGTTGCGTTCTTCCTCTCTAATTAGGTTTCACCTCGTACAACTAGACCCACTCTAACTGCAGCACTAGATACAGAAGAGTTAGAAAAACAACGGGAATAAAGACGAGGAAGAAAAGAGAAGAAACCGGCGGCGGCAGAGCGGCGGCGCGACGGCGGTGCGGCGGTGCAGCGGCGGGGCTGCAACTGTGAGGCGGAGGACGGCCGTGCTTCATGCGGCTAGGGTTTTTGGGGCTGTAAAAACTTATCTCAACTCATCATATGAGTTGTATTTATACTAGGGTTCATAACCCTCATGGGCTTAAGTCATTGGGCTTGACCCACTGATCCATTAAGCCCACCCCCTCGTCGGCCTCGTTTCTTACAAACGATCGTCCACAAAATTATAACAAAATTATATTTGTGACGAGCATAAAGTCCTCGTCGATACGAGTGCCTCTTTGAAATTTTCAATTTCCAAAATTGGAAACTTCTAATTTAGTGGACCTGCTAAATCGGGAAACTTCCCAATTTAGATAGTTCACTAAATTTCCGCATATCTCTTTCTCTCCGTTTATTCCAACTCGTAATCCACAATTACGAATCTTAGATTCAATCATATTGACATCCAACTACGCAAAGATTAACACATTAATCTATGCTTGTTGTTTTTCAAGGATCTATGTTACACGAGAAGTGTGACCCTCAATGATTCAGGTGTAAGCTAGCCGTGGGCTCACAACTCTTTGTGATTCGAACAACACATTGTTCTTATACGAACTCCTCCCAAGAGTCCCGATTAGGGTAAAACTCATTTTACTCAATCGCCGATCAAATCGGTGCCCAACGAATCAAGATTGGCGTCTAGCAACTACGCATCATGATTCCCTAGATACAAATGAAGTGCCTGCAAGAACCTTGTGATATAGTTAACGTACAGTACGATCCCTTCGCAGCAAATGTCCCGATTGAACTAGAGGCATTGGTCCACCGAGACCTCTTATTAAGTTCAATAACCGTGCGAACGTTCTAGGTGTTATAATCCGTTCGTGTGTGACTTAGAGAAACACATTTCCCTAATCACCCCACTATCAACTCCGGCCGGAGATTCCATGGATTACAAACCGACAGAACACACAGGACATCCATGACTACTCAAGCGCTCAAATCCCCTACTACAATGCACAGACTTCACACTAGATTTCGGACTGCACGAACGTTGGCCCTTGGAGCGGTCCGCGGTGGGACTCAGGGACAGGTCACGATACAGTCGGTCCTCTAGTGAAGTCACGGTGATGTCTGGGTCTTAAGGACTAATGGTGCACAACTATATCATAGAAACCTATTACTCGATGATTGGGAACCACTTATAGATTTCTAGGCGAGGGAGTTCAGTGAACTCATCTAATATGAGCACCCACTCAAGTATGCCGATGTCACAACACCGATGACTGATGAGACGCAGTACACATACACTAAGTGCTAGTCTCAAAAGGGAAAGGCCGATATCCTCATTATTGGCGTAACCCATCGACTAGGAACTAAGTTTAACAGTTACATTACTTTGCTGAATTATCTCACGATTCTACTAGACCAATTCACAGTAATAGACTAACTCGTTAGGACTATATCTATGCGCTTGCATGGGATTACAGATATAGAATGCCAAAAGGTATTTTACCATTAATTTGAAATAGATTATTTACGAGTAGCGTGAGGAAACACAACACTTAGTTGGCTTATTGGTCACCTACTCTAACAGTTAGAAGGTATTGAACTCATTAGTTGATGATTATTACGTAACAAAAAACGACTTTTGACGACTTCTTAGTATTTGGAAAACCCTAGAAAAAAGTTGGAGAGAAGTCGAAAAAATAGAGCACAGAGAGAAAATATTTTTTTTGTATAGAGAAATTTTTTTTTTTATGTGCGGGATTTAGTAACTTTTGTGTGGAAAACCCTAGAAAAAATTAAAGAGAAGTTAGAGAAAATATTTAGTAGAGAGATAATATTTTTGGTAGAGAGATAATATTTTTTATTTATGTGCGGGATTTAGTAACTCTTAGTGTAGGATTTAGCACCCCCTTCAAATAATGGAATAATAAATATTTTCGGCAAAAAAATAAGAAAATTAATAATAATAATTTTGTTCCAAATAAATTGGGAGAAAGTAGAAATTTTAAAATCAGGATGAACTGAGGTGGTGTTTGCAAATGATTATTTAAAAGCAGAAGTTAGTGATTGTGATTTAAGTTAGTTTTAAGTGCTTATTTCTAAAAGTTGGGGGTGTTTGCAAATATTTCGGAAAATGAACTAAAATTGAAAAAGCAGGGTTATGGGTGCTTTTAAAAAATAGCTTAAAGCAGATTATTTTAAGAGAAGCAAAAGCAAAAGTTGATTTTGCAAACACCTAAAAACAGATTATGAGCAAAAAAAACCGCATAATCACTTTCAAAAAGCATTTGCAAACACCACCTGAGTCGCATAAGCTATCAAAGTAGAATATTTTGAAAGTAAAAAATTAAAACAATAATTAAGAATTAAAAAAAGAAAAGAAAAAAAACAATCAGGATGAACGGGTCCAATATTAAAATATTTATTTTCCCAATAATACCCTTCTTGTTGTTGACACTTGACAGTACCACACGCGCTATGAGACAAAGCTATAACCTTGATCCATGCACGTCAATGTTGACATGTGTGGCTGCGTACAATATACATGTGCACATTAATTAATTTTAAGGTATTTTACAATTGTCGCTTCTATTAAAATATTTTATTTTAATTATAATTACTCATTCACATAAAATAAAATAAAAAAGTTCTTACATATATTGAGGTGTGTGGCTGCTATCGCTTGTCGGTGGGAGAAAATGACAAGAGTTTCATCTGATATCAATGGCGGAGTCAGTATAGGACTAAAGGGGCCATGTCCCCCGAACATTTTTCAAATTCTTATTAAATTATATAGAAATATATTAAGTGTTAGCATAGACCCCTTGTGTAATTTCTAATTGTCCCAAAATCTATCTGTTAAAAAAAATTAACGAAAACCTCCCTACGTCGTGTTTTGTGACGCACACCGGTCCTTGCATCAAAATTGTCTGTTGACCTTCATGAAAAGACGAATTTCTAGAGAAGAACGAGTTGAAATGTACTTTAAAAACCAATCATCTGAATCCTCTTTCTTCGCCGTCAAAGAGTCGCCGGAGTTTTGCCTTTCGTCATGGAGGATCCACGACCGAAACTAAAGGGTTGATGACCCGTTGCCTGATAAAAAGATTTGCAAAAAAAAGTCCCTGACTTGAAGTAGAAGAGGGCTTTTCTGAAATTGAAGGGGATTGAATTGAAAATTTTGGAAACATCATTTTGGGACTTGTTTTCCAAAATTTTAAATTAAAGGGTATTTTAGTCTTTTCAGGTCAAAAAAACAACCCCAATGGCCTATTTCGCGAGTGTATGACACCATCAACTTGGATGGGCATTATTGCCTTTGACTAATTTTATTGGGGGTTCTTGCTAATTGTTTTTAAACATGGACTTCTGTGGCAATTAGAGATTACACTGGGGTGATTAGTACTAAAAGCTCATAAATATCTATAGAAACAATTAATCATGTCATGTAAAATAGCATCAACGGCCCCTCTAGAGAAAAAAAAAGAAAAAGAAAAAAAGAACTTTTGCCCCCGAACTTGAAATCCTGGCTCGGTTAGTTTATCGTACAAAACTCGTGTGAGTGAACAATTCTACATATTTATTATCCTCTCCTTACAACATATTTACCATAGAACCAGGGTTATGGAAGTTCAAAATATTCCTCTGCTCACTCAATACAAAATGGGAGAGTTTGATCTCTCTCACAGGTTCTTCTTTTTTGTTGCTGTTTTGTTTTCCCTTATTTTTTATTTTAATTTTTTTATTGCTAACATTAATTTATTGTAGAGAGTTTTTTTTTTTAACAATTAAACTAAAACACAGAGGTATCGAATGAAAAAAAAAAAAAAAAACCTCGACTTTATTAGATTTAAGCCCGGCCCGTATCGAAGTTTGAACTTTTAAAAGATGCATCTTGTTGATTTAAAGTGAATTGTATATGAAGTTTGATCTTTAGTATATTATTGTTTTTTAAAGAATGTTTTTTTTTTCTTTGAACATCAGAATTGTATTAGCACCACTGACCCGATTCCGGTCTTTCAACAACGTCGCGCAGCCTCACGCGGCCGTGTATTACTCTCAAAGAGCAACCAAAGGCGGACTTCTCATCGCTGAAGCAACCGGTGTATCCGACATTGCACAAGGGTATATTTATTTTATTGGCATTTTTATTTAACGAGTTTTAAGAATTTGACATGTATATAACCTACGTTTAGGTTCCATTTCGATGGAACGAGGGTCGTTTCTAACTACAGTTGTTGAACCTTGATAAATTAATAATCTCGTTTTAAAAAATACATTCTTTCGGTCCCAACTCGGTAAAAACATATTAAACTATTAGTTCAGTAATTTAATATTCCGCTAAAGTAATAGAATTTTATTAGTCCCGACTGTATTAATTTAAAGAGGTTTAACTGGTATTCTGTAGCCTAAAAATGAATAGTGAACCGGGGCCATTTTTTATCCTAATATTGCAATTTGGATTTCTAGTGTATATCAAAGTGCAGACGTGAGATTCGAACTCAGAATCTTTCATTTGGTATGACTCTGATGCCATGTTGAATGACCAGCTCGACTAAAAAATTATGTTTTTAGTGAAATCTGAAATGTATTATTTAATATTTAATACCTCCAGCAACATTAATTACTACGGTCACATTTATAGGTACCGAGATACACCGGGAATTTGGACAAGGGAGCAGGTAGAGGCATGGAAGCCAATTGTAGATGCAGTTCATGAAAAAGGTTCCATCTTTTTCTTGCAACTGTGGCATGTTGGCCGTGCCATTACTAATGGTATTACAAATTAAACCCAATTCAATATTATTTATTTTTTATTTATTTGCAAAAAACCTCATTTTCAAAATCTTATTGTGTATACATACTCGCTTCCAAAATGATGTTTTAACTTGTTTTTTATTTGGCCATCAGGTTTTCTACCCAATGGCCAAACTCCAATCTCATCAACAGCCACGGGAATATCCCCTGGCGTTGATGGACAAGAGTGGGCCCCACCTAGGCGACTGACAAAGGATGAAATTCCTGGTGTTGTTAATGATTTCAGGATCGCTGCTCGTAATGCTATCGAAGCAGGTTTTGTTATATGCTCTGTTTTCGAATTATACGAGTTCGTTAAGCTTTTAATTTCATTTTTAGAGTCGACATTTGAAAAATCTTCAAAATTATGTTGGTGCATTGCTACAGTGAAATTTGTCTCCTCCCACTATAAGCAAATTTTATATTTTAATTTATTGTTTTTATTTTCCCCCTTTTTTACTTGTAGGATTTGATGGAGTTGAGTTACATGGAGCAAATGGCTACTTAATCGAACAATTCCTCAAGGATTACGTAAATGATAGAACCGATGAATATGGCGGGAGCTTGGAAAATCGGTGCCGATTTGCACTGGAAATAGTGGAAGCAGTGGCCAATGAGATCGGCTCAAATAGGGTTGGGATTAGACTATCTCCATACACGAATTTATCGGAGTCAATCGACTCGGATCCGGATGCACTAGGCCTTTACATGGCAAACGCACTTAATAAGTTCGACATTTGCTACCTACATGTTATCGAACCGAGAGTGTACGGTACGGTGGTGCTTCAAGGGCCGGAAGATGAAGTTCCTCATAAGCTACTTCCCATGAGAAAGGCTTTCAAGAATACTTTTATCGCTGCTGGCGGATACGATAGGCGTAAGGGCAATTTAGCCATTTCTAAAAATTATGCGGATTTGATTGCGTATGGACGCTCGTTTTTGGCGAATCCGGATTTAGTGAGAAGGTTCGAAGTTGATGCTCCTCTTAATAAGTATAATAGGAGTACATTTTACATTCCAGACCCTGTGGTTGGTTACACTGATTATCCATTTCTTGAAGAACCTAATTAGGATTTAGGAGTAATTAATATATTTGTATGTACCTTTGATTTGTATTTATGAACTTCTTTCCCAAGTATTATTATGTTGACATGATAGGCGTGGTACCTACCTGCAAAAATGAAAATTTTGCGATATCATGTTTTATAGAACCTGGGAATTATGAATATTGTCCTTAAAAAAAAATTAGTTCTGAATTACTAAGTATTGTAATTATATTATACTAAACTTTATATGGACGACCGAATTTTGATGATATAACAATTGAAATAACTAATATCGATGGAATACGATTTATAAGAAGAGTTAACGTAATCCCTAAATTTAAAGAATTTTAGTGATCGCATTTTTTATATAATACATTATAATTTATGTTATTTTAGTTAAAAGTTAATTGATGCGATCTCTCGAGTATCATAAATATTTCCTACGAAACGTAAGATCTATTCTTTAATATTTTTCTCTTCATAATAAAACCCTAGCACAAGACGACTATTTAAAGAGAATAAAACCCTAGAATCCTAATCTAACTAGCAAAGATAATTACCTAAACTAATTAAATACCTAATAATCTCCTAACCACTACTAACTCACGGCCATCTATAACCCTAAACAACTATTCTAGTTAATTAATAATTAAATAATGACTAACTAATAATTAACGATATATTAAATAATAATATATCGTATCAAACCACCCCTCTTGAAATGAACCTTGTCCTCAAGGTTCCAATAATTGCAGCTCTCTCTTTTGCGCTTCCACCTGTGTTTGACTACATCGAATTGCGTCCCGAGTGAATCCGAAAAACATGACGAACGATCAAGATTTTTACCACATTGTTTAGGTTGATCGAACGAACTCCTCAAGGCTTTTGGAAAAATTCTCAATATTTTTCCCGATAAATAAGCCTCTTCAATTACCTTTTCAGATTCCGGTTCATTCACAATCACCAATTCTTGTTCGTCTTTTTTCCTTTCAACAACATGGAAATCTCCCAATATCCATTGTAGTTCTTCATTCTCATCTGTGGTTAATTCCTCATCTTCGTCCCAAATTATCTCCGTTAACTCCGATTCTTCTTCTTTCGGCTCTTCGTCCCACTTTATATCAGTTGAATCTGATTCTTCTTCTTCCGGCGAACTCACAAAAAATTGGGGTTCTTTGAAAAAATCACCGTCGTCCTCTTCCTCTTCCTTTTGCGGTAGGCTTGGCATTGGCGGCGGCGGTGGATCTTCGAAAAAGTCATCATCATCCTCGTCCTCTTCCTCCAGCGATAGGCTCGGCGGCGGCGGTAGTGGTGTTGTTGGTCGGCGGTGGCGGTCTCTTCGGCTCTTATGTTGGCGCCGTCCTTGACTTTGTTCGAGCAGTTTTTGGAGACCAATCCGTATCTCCTCCACGGATTTTTCCAATCGCTCTAAACGTTTTCTCTCGGACGACATAATTTCGCAAAGTGTTGATGTAATCTCAACTTTGCTCCAGCGTAGCTTTGATATAATCTCTGCCTTGCTAACGAAGCGTTGGTGTTAATCGCAACTTCGCTCTGATACCAATTGATGCGATTA